ATCACCCCTTCTCTTTGTTGAAGGCAGTATGACTGCTGCGCATTATTTTGATAAAAACCACGTTACTGCCATATCTAGAGGGCCGTCCACAGTCGACACGTCCTTTTTCAATAAGACAACGCACGTCCCCATATTGCTCATGGTGCTACGCACTTTCTTCAAGTTGTTTTAATAAAAAAAGTGATAAAGGAAGGTGTAACTAACTAACTTCTTTGAGTATTTTTGTAACGGAGATTCACGTGCTATTTTGGTCTGTTAGTGTAAACGGCGATGAAGTTTTGTTTTCAGTCTCATATAAAAATGCTAACTAATTGACTGCTTCCTGGCAGACAGCGCGTACGTAAGTGATAATGTTTACTAAAGAATTAGGGGAATTAAGAGTGACTCAGTGACGTTTTGATAGATCTAATATTATTTTAGTTGGCTCGGTCTTTATTTCTTACAAGATAGGTGCTTCGATTTCAGGTGAATTAATATTGTTTATAATTAGGTATATGAGAGTGTGCGACGTATATTCATAATATATCAAGTACTGTATAAAGCTTTGAGTCACACAGATACGCAAAAATTTCGTTTCTTCTGTGACGGGATAAAAGTTTGACATTTTATCTCTGTTGACAGGTAACAAAATGTCACTTTTTATGAAATTACTTTTTTCCGCGGGAAAAAAATTAGTACTTTTTCCCGGATATTGTATAAACGGTTTAGCTGGCAATAATTTTTGTGACGCTACTTTGGCTACTTCCACTAATTCCGGTGGAGTCAAAGAAAAATCTGCTCCAAAGAAGGCGAAGACGGTCCCTCAGGCCGGAAAGGTCATGGCGACGATTTTTTGGAATCCGAACGACGTCATCCTCAAGGATTTTTTAGAAAAAGGAAGAACGATCCCTGGACAATACTACAGTAAGTTATTGGACCACTTCGAAAAAAAATTGAAGGAGTCACGGCCAGATTTGGACAAAAAAGAGGGTGCTGTTTCACCACGATAACGCACCAGCCATTCATCCGGAGTTGTCGCCGCCAAACTGCATTAATTGCGTTATGGAGTGCTGCCGCACTCCCCCGTATTCATCCGATCTGGTCTCCTGTGACTTTTTCTGGTTCCCTAACATGAACAAATGACTCGTGGGGCAAAAATAGCTCAAACGAGGAAGTCAATGCCGAGACAGAGGCATATTTTGGAGAGTTCAACAAATCCTATTTTTTTGGACGGGTTAGAAAATGGCAGTAACGTTGGGAAAAGTGTATCTCTCTAAAATGGGACTGTGTTAAACATTTTTTTCTTTTAAAAATGGTGTCTTCATTTTCAACATGGTTACTTATTGACCCGCCCTAGTAAGTTCACAATTTTTAAACCAAATCACGAAATTAAACTGGCAGCTATTTGATTACTTTAAAAGTTTTCTTTGCAACGCAGGTCTAATTGTCGCTATAAGTACAACATAGCTTACTAATTTCGAAATTCAAATTTCACATCGATAATTTTCTGACATAAATATTGTAATATGTAATATAATTTTTCAATATTAAATCGTCGTTTTTCCCGTCAAAATGGTGAATAAAATGCACTCGATTTACTCAGGAAACGACCTTTTAGCGAGATTTATACCTAGAATAAACGTTCATTCTCTAAATTTAAGACATGGGGATAACTTAAGTATAGCTTGTCACCATTCAAAACGATGCCAAAGATCTTTGTCATGTAACGTTATTGAAATTATATACCTAATCGCGATGGCAGCTTATTAGAGGCCGTTCAGCGTCGTGCTACACGTATGCCTTATGGCACACGTAAGCCGAGATATGAAGACCGCCTCGAGTTATATAACCTGCCTGCTTTTGCTGATAGAAGAATGCGAGGAGATCTCATCATCACTTCCAGAGCACTGCATAATTTGTTTGGTGTGGACATGTCGCATTTGTTTCGTCTGGCAACGAACAATATCAGAGGCCATAACTTCAAATTGCAGAAGGAAGCTTTTAGAACCTCTACTCGTCAGCGCTTTATCTCAAACCGTGTATTCGATGCATGGAACAGTCTTCCATCTTATGTAGTGAACTCGGCATCCGTCAACAGTTTCAAAAACAATTATAATAGACACCGCAGTGCTTAACATATTGTTCCCATTCTGTATATGTCTACTTAAGAAGTGCTAAGATTGTCAAATTGTTATACTTCTTTTGTCTGTACACTATTATCTATTATGTGATTGAGTTTATAGTACTTGTACTCAACTCAAATTTGTTGTTTAATAATAATAATAATAATAAAGTGAATGAGATAAAAAAATAGGCAATATTATTATTTAAAAAGAATATTAGACATGCTACTAGCAGAGTGGTATAGCTAGTTTCACGTTTTGATTTTGTTTACATTATTTTCTAAATACCTGTATAATCTACCTTCTTTACAGAGTTAAATGTAAGAGTAACCGTTAACTAAATTTCGAGAAATAAAGCCGGAATTATTATTAATATATAACCCCACGCATTTTTGGGAGCTATCTCCCATGTCCTATAATGAAGAAAATGGTTATGCAGAGCAAAAATTCGATTTTCATCGTCCGTGGCTACAAGCGATCTAAGCTTGGTATACTAACTAACGTATTGGGGCGCTGTATCCAAATATGACCATCACAACAGGGAAGTAAATAAGGTGTAACTGTAACGTAAGGTGAGGTCGAATTTGGAGTAGAAAAATGAACCTCCAGCAGGGTTTTCGGCGCTCAAACGTCAAACTAGCAATGGAATCAGAACAGAGGCAGGTTCAGAACAGAGGCGGATTCAGAGGGATATTTGGGGGCGCAGGGAAAATAAAATGAAAAAATCAAAAGCGACTATTGTAGGGCAGGGGTAAAGGTGGCTTCATTAGTGCTTCTGAGAGCAAATATCCTTGTGACAAGAATTTTCTCTCCTCCCCAGTATACTCAATCTGAATCTAGGCACCCGATTTACCCAGGATGATAAGGTACTACAGGTACGGAGGAATTTTTAAGAACCGTCTCAAAACCATATGGTGGTCGAATCGGTTTGTAGAACCTTAGCTCTTGTATCATAGTGTAAGTTAGTAAGTCTATCAGGTCTGGTAACCCGGAAACTTGATAATTTTGGGGAAAAAAGTAGAAGGAAAAGGAAGAAGAGAATCTTTTAAACCGAGAGCATTTTGTTGAAATCACTCAATAAGCTTTACATGGTCCAAAATTACTAGATTTTTGTGCCTGCAGCCGCGTTTTGTTTTATCCAGCTTGCTTAATTTCGTCGTCGCGCTTTTTGTTTAATCTAATCCCTCGGGTAAGGGATATCGAGGTCGATAATGATTTCGCATATGCATTTTGGCAATAAAATACTAAGCAGCACAAGCATAAGTTATTGCTGGTCCTATGATCATTTTATTGAGCCGAATTTTGTTGTTTGAAATTAATTTTGAACGTCTACATAATAATGGTAAGTTATTCCTTTGTCCAGAATGAGACTGAAATACTTAAATGAGCTTCCCCGTGATACACGAACTCCATTCACTGAAACCTCAGTCTGTGTTTACAAATGGTTCATTTTAATTGGCCCACCCTAATACTTCACCCCACCGCCCTTTGCAGCCTATCATAGACAATGCAGTATCATCAGCATACGAGGGATGTATTTTAAGTTTTGCATATGGAAATAAAACAACAATTTATTTAGTTTTAAATGACTTTATTGTTTTTCGAAGTATTCTCCACGAAGATTAATACACATCTGCATGCGCTCGAACCAATTTTCGAAGCACTTATTCCACTCGTTTGCTGGCAGATCCAAAACGGCATTTTTGAATGCCTTTGTCCACGCAGTCTGTTTTTAATTTTCGGGGAAGTAAAGAAATCGTTAGGACTTAGATCAGGACTATATGGAGGATGGTCCAATTATTCCACGTTTTCTTCCGTTAAATACTGCCTTGTTTTTTGGGCTGTGTGCGAGCTTGCATTGTCTTGGTGGAGGATGATTCTTCTTTCAGTGTTGATTTTTCGAAGCTCGGTGATGACTTTTGGAAAACAAATGGTGGTATACCAACCCGCAGTAACAGTTCTTTGCTCACTCAGAGGAATTGTTGCAATATGACCGGCTTTTGACACAAATGTCGCGACCATCTTTTTTGAAACACTTCGAGAACGGATGACTTTTGTTGGCTTTTCTTCACCTTGGAACACCCAAACTGCCGACTGTCGTTTATTTTCTGGTTCATAACAGTAAATCCACGATTCATCACCACTAACAATGCTGTACACATTTTTTGAGTTTCCGGAATTGAAACGGTCAAGCGTTTTTAGACACCAATTAACCCTGGCTGCTTTCTGCTCTTCAGTCAACAGATGGGGTATCCAACGAGAAACTAATTTTCTTACTCCTAATTCTTCATGTAAAATTTTTTGAATTGAGGTCATTGAGATCTTCAAGGACGCCTCAATCTCGCGATATGTCACATGTCTATCTTCAATGATGAGTTTGCGCACAGCATCGACGTTTTCCTGGGGGACTGTTTGGTGCACCCACCCTGGAATCGTCGCTAAGACTCACCCGTCCACGTTTGAATTTTCCATACCAAAGGGAAATTGTCGACTGATGTGGCGCTTCGTTGCCAAAAACAGACAGTAACCCAGCAAGGCAGTCTTGTTGCGATAATTGTCTCTGTTTCTAATGACTTGGTGAGACTTAAAAATTCACTGTAGTGAGAACACTGCACATATTGTTGTGAAACTTTGAATTTAAGTTTACTAAAGAGTGAGGTTAAGATTCAGTACTGACGTTCGATCCGCGCGGCCTACTATGTTTCTATATGCAAAACTTTAAAGACATCCCTCGTAGAGACAGTCTACACAGTGACTGGACATCATAAATCTACAAGGGGTAAAGGATTGATTCATGGACCAAAATCTGAGGACACTGACCAGTACCATTTGACTTAGCCATACAAAGTTCCCATTTTAGTTGTTTATGGCTACAAGTACCACTAAAATATTCCAAAGTGTTACAACTGGGGTACAATTTATTGAATAGGAGCAGAAAGGTCTTAGAATTATGCACTTACAGATAAAATGATGAAGTGATTTTTTTGAGACCATTCAATGCATAACCAGGCAGCTTCCAATGACAAGACAAGTACACCTTATACTGTCATAGCTTTAATTAGCTAACTATAAAGTGGTACAAAATATCCTAAAAGTGCTACCACTTTCATTTATCAATTTGGCCCATTTACTAAACTTAAACGTGTTTCATTAAAACATACAAAATACATTAAAGCAAAAATTTACTAAACTTAAATGAGTTCCATTGAAACATTTACAAGATACATTAAAACAAAAATAAGCCTAAGAATCTCATTCACTCATTGGTTCAGGACTATTACTAACATCAATAACTTCCATAGGACCCTCAATTACACTACAATCATTATTATCTTCTTCTAAGTACATTCTTAGCTGATTTGCTGAAGTAGATAATACATAAAACTGTTTCTTCCTCTTATCCAGCTTACCAACAAGCTTCTTCTTCTCTTCGCCCAACGCTTTCAGTTCCTCCTGAAGTCGAGTCAGTTGAGCATTCATCTGTTTTCTTGGAGGTTCTGCTTCTATAGACCTTGCCAACATGTCATACTGTATCCGATTCTGTTTTACCTTTTTGGCATTTTCTAGTTCTACCTTTTGATTCGCGATTTCGTTTTTGATGTCGTTGATCTGCTGTTCAAAGTCGCCATGTAATTGCTGATATTTGTTCAACTGATCATTATTGGCTCTAACAACTAGTTCAGCCTTTTTACGGGAATGTTCTGTTAAGCTCAATTGGGCTAAGATCTTGTCGTACATGTGTTTGTATTCTTCTGAGGAATCATCTGGGTGGTTGGTCCATTTTGTTAGTTGTTTCAGCATGAGATTGAACCTTCTGTCGTCTCCAGTACCATATCCATCGAAGATCAGCCTCCTTTTAATTACTTCCTCTGAAAATTAAATTATGTGTAGGGTGTTCACCTGTTAGATGTATATTTACTAATTACCATCAGACATTCTGACCGTGGGGTCACAAAAAATATAAATTTAAGGCAGATCAAGTTTACAAAAATCCAAACAAGCAGGGATAAACCGATATCACACTGACATCACCCGATATTTTAAGGTTATGTTTGCTTGTCAAAATTAAGAGATGAGTTAATTGAATATCCGGTTTTATTATATTCGATTAACCGGTTATTTTAGTGTACGGCAGGGTTATATAAAAAAAATTATGTGACTTTTTAAGTTGCGAAATACGGCTGCCGTTAATCGGTTATCGGATCGAAAAGTTTAATAACTCAACAAAGATTATTTTTGTTTTTTATATACCGAATAAATCATACTGAATATGAGAGTCCTGCTTTTTCAGTCGCCGATACCCCCTCCTGAGAGGTATTGTCTTTTTCATGATTATTCATTACGGTAGAATAACAGCTGATTATCTAGTAATATTATAAAATTACCCATATCGGTGAACGACACATAATTCTGACCGATCTGTCAACGCCAGGTAGACAGACGTTTTTTGTACGCTATAGATTAATTTTGTACTTGCTAACAACTCTTTTATTTAAGAAAGTTCATTTGCATACAAAGAAAAACCACTACAAGCAAGTTTTTTCCAGATTTACACACGATTCATTATTACCAACGTTACATACAAATTAAATATGTCACTAGAAGATCAGCTGTTCACCTGAGTAGACGTCAAAAAGTGATGGATACTCGTGAAATATATGGCATACACATGAATCCTGCAACAACCACTGCGCCCCGCCTACTTGACGGAGTCATAAGTCCGCCACTGGTTGCGGTTAAAACAATAACCAGTTAAATTTGCCTCGGTTACCCAATATTGATTGAGGTTAAACCGCTCTCACACGATGTGGCGAATGCCTCACAACGTTGGACACATAGCCATTCGCCACATCATGTGGGAGAGCGCTGACGGATTGCATGTGTCCAACGTTCGCCACATGGCACGTTCGGGCTCTTGTCGGTAAATTTCACCACGGTCAAAGGACCTTACAACGTTTGAAGCATGGTTCGTTACGCTCCCACACGAGATGTCATGTGTTTGATGGTTTTAGGTTAGAACCAGTAGCAGCGATAAACATTACTTGTTTGTTGTGATTGTGGTGAAGTAGTGGTATGTGGGAAATATTTTGAATTGATTACCTACCTATTCATAGTAATGTATCTTCCGTAACTAACTTTTGAGGAGAATGGATTAAATTAGTATACATACAAGTCATAGGCTGCCATACAAACACTTTTTTCATATTGCAAATATTTTGTACGTTTCGCAGGTGAGTTATGGCTGGCCTAAGGATATGTATTTTAGTAAATTATAAATTATCAAGTGCTTACAGTTGTTTCATTATAACGTCCTGTTGCAATGCGGGACTAATTGAGAAATATATTGACTTCCATTTCACTACTATAAGGATGTTGATGAAATTTTGACCCTAGGTTACTACTATGAAAATGAAGAAAAAACTCTGCAATTTTTGAAAATCGGTACAGTGGCGGTGGAGCTATCGGCGAAAAACAAACAAAAAACGGTTAAACTTCGTTTTTCGACATTTTTGAGGTTTCTGACAGACTTACATTTTGGTCGCAGAGGACAGATCTGAAATTATTTTTCGGCGCTCGAAAAAATTGTTTCATCGTTTATTTTGTATAATTTTTCCTTCAGTTGTAAAGGTTCAAGCGCGGCACTGATACCGATAATAGACGTTGGCAACACCATGCGTCGAACGTCCGAGACTAAAAAGTTCATCTCATCGTGTAGGAGCCACACTTGCCAATTATGGGGTGTCGAACGTTGCAAACAACGTTGGAAGTATCGTGTGGGACCCGCATTATTGAAAAAATAACCGATTAACCTATAACCGGTTTCTTATCGATAACCGCCCATCCCTAGTCAAAATAGTGATGGTGGTATATATTTTTTATTTGTTCTTAGCATCAATGTTGATTTTTGTATACCTTGAGAGCTTTCTCTTAGATTACTTTGCTGAAGTATATATGCTAAAAAAACATATGTGCTATCTCGCTTATATAAAAACTACATTTAAAGATTTGAATTCCATAAGTGCTTGTCACAGATGAATAATCGAATAACGTCTTATTTTGCAATCTCAGCGCTATTATTATTACGACAGCTGACAGCTCATCATCCCTGAGGTGGGGATGTTCCGATCCACTAAAAGTATCGATACCATGTATCGATTTGTATCGTTTTAGGAAGTATCGATAGTCTAAAATATCGGAATAAAAATATCGATACTACAAGTATCGAATCCTTTCGATACGGAACACACTCTGTCGAAAATCGAAGTTTTTTCTACAGCCCTCAAAATAATGTTTACTTTTTTCAAGTACATGACTAGATTGTCAAAAACGTTCACTAATAAAAATAGGTAAAAAATAACTAGGAAATTCATTAGAAAAAGAATCATTATTTGTTTAATATTTAAACGAAACAACTATACTACATATTACAGATATGCTTATTAAACATAAAATATATAAAGCAAAAGGTATTAAAAAACAATATTACAAATAACTCAAAGTTCAAAATCTTAGAAATTCCAGTCTTGAGCACCAAGCGAATGTAAAAATAGTTATGACATTCGTTCAACAGATAATGTTTCGGCTTTGGCAGAGTATATTTCCAGCTTCAGGAAACTATCGCTCTGAGCGAACTGTTGTGCCAACAATAGAGAGATAGAGTTCTTTAAATATTTCCGAGGAAGAACTGGAGCTATTCCAGTACAAAAAAGGATTCAAATTTAGGGGTATGGTATGACTATTTAAATACAATTGTAGCTCAAGATCAGTATCTGATTTAGTATAGTATAGTTTTTCATTGTAGGCCCAAAAACATTATCAGATTTTTCAACAATATTAATATGATTTTGCCCTGCTTTTTCAGTATTTATTTCCTTCTTGTGCAACTGAAATGACTGGTTTAGGAAAGTGACTGCATATTTGCACACCAAATTGGACTGTTGAAGTGCAATCATTTAAAACAAGGGTCCAGGATATTTGGGACAGCTAAAAGTTTAATCTGTTTTATGCTTCCAAAACGTTTTGAAAGCCCCTCGAAAGAGTCAAATTTTCAATTTTTGGCAACCCTGAAATCAAAAATAAATTATGTGAGGTCGTGGAGTTGAATAGCATCAACGGTAGGAAACAAATAAGAAAAGTAATCTGAAGTTAGTCACTATTTCTGACACAGTCAGCATCGAAAGGTAACGATACTAGTGAAATGTATCGATACACCCAAGTATCGTATATAAAAATATCGATCCAAAATATCGTCTATCGAACATCCCTACCCTGAGGGTCCTTGAGCCTTGAGTGTCCGTGAGGTTATGTCATGACATAACCTAATTTATGTCGTAACAAAACTCAAATATTTGTAACAATTTTTAAATAACTATGATTTCCTCAAAGCTATGATATGAAGAGAAAAATAAGCTAAGCATATCGTACTTCTTCATCCATGTTTGCCCTGAAACTGCACACGAATTTGGCTGTACTTCAACCTCAAGTAAGGTGAGCCCCTTTAGAAGACTGCAACTTAACGGTATATCTTTGCAGAAATACGTACGATGTCTACCGTCAATAAACTACTACGTTAACACAAGCAACACAAAACCTTCGCCGCCTGTTGTTGGTACAGTAAACTTAGATCATGAGATTAGTAATGGTAGCAATGTGTCTCTACCTCATAAGCCAAAGCAAGTTCCAGCCTGGAGACCCACTCCCTCAACAGACAGCTCCAACCTGATTAACCACTACCTCAAGTTGTCCAAGGTTCGGCTTACCAGTAAGTTACTTTGCCATTTTCTTCTCTAATACCAGAGTATCATCTAAATCTTAGAGTAATATAATACATATAAAAAGCTAAAAGATCAGAAGAAGAGTGCTCATATTCACACCTGCCAAGTGGTAATTCAACAATAGCCTTTCCTTAGAATCCAAATTGGAATATCCAATTTTACGTTTTACCATGTAGTAGTTGTGTGGCACTCCCAACAGCAGTATATCAAGTCAAATTCATTGTCCTGTTTATACTATACATTTTATCTTGCATTTGGATTGAGTTCAGCTACTATATTACTAAATAATTGTTTTTGTAGCTCTTGTAGTAATAACATCAATGGCAGGTTATGCTGTAGCACCAGCTCCATTTGAATGGAGTACATTTACCTTATGTGCTCTAGGCACTGGGCTACTTTCGGGTGCTGCAAATTCAGTAAATCAATTCCATGAGGTGCCATTTGACTCACAAATGTCTAGAACTAAAAACAGAGTGTTGGTGTGTGGAAGACTCACGTAAGTTATAGTTTTGATGCATGAATACAAATTTTGTTATAAAGTACATTTTCACCATCTTGACTTTATAAAAAAGTTATGGAATTGATTTTGTAGTCAGAAATATAGTACTACAAACCTGGTTGTAGCTTAGTTGATAAGATTTCTATAATCAATCAGTTTAGTACCTTTGATAACATTAAATTTGTTACTTTTATATTTTCTATTTCAGGCCTCTCCATTCAATGCTATTTGCAGCTGGTACCAGCATTACTGGTCTTGGTATCTTATATTATGGTGTGAATGGACTCACTGCTAGTTTAGGTCTTGCAAATTTGATTTTGTACACTTCAATCTACACACCAATGAAGAGGATCAGTATACTGAATACTTGGGTTGGGTCTATAGGTAAGTATTGTTTCCAGGAAAAAAATATTTTGTACATAAGTTATACTTGAATATGCTCAAGGTATATGGAGCCCCTACTATGTAAAAGACGTAGTGGTATTTGAAGGGATTCAAAGAAGAGTAAGTAAATTAGCAGTTGACGTGGAATACTTGAAAAATTTGGGGCTGTATCATCAGCATTCCCACAATTGTAGGATGTCTTTATGGCCTCCTTGATTTTCTTTATCTTTTCTCTCCTTGGGGTATTTCTAGATTTTTACTTAAGCTGCTAGTTCAACAAAAATTATACAATGGAAAAGTGTGCTAGGCTATTAAGACATTTTTTCTTATCAAATTAAGTGGTCTGTAGTTGGAATCAACTAAGGCAGTTCAAAAACTGCCTTGACAGAGAAAGTCTCA